ACAAAGAACGTCTGTGGACGTCCAAAATGTGTTTAAAAATAGTCGGTCAGTCGGGGACATGTTATGAACGTCAATAGACGTCCAAAATCCGTTTCAAAAAGTCAGTCCATTGGTGACCTGTTAATAACGTCAATAGACGTTTCACTATAACCCAAAAATAATGATAACGATCATGATAATAACAATACCAGTACCACTGCTTCTAGCCTACTGCTACTAGTACAACAACAACAACTACTACTTCTACTACTACTACTAATAATAATAATAGTAATAATAATAGTAATAGTAAGAAGAAGAAGAAACAACAAAAACAAAGCTGTATTCCAGTCCAGAGATATTATGTTATGTTTCTTTTCTCAAAGATACCAAATGTTAAATATAGATTGGCTTACTGTTATGTTAGATGTTGATTGCTGAAGCTTGATAATATTTCACTTGTCTTTATGGTGTAAAGAACATGCCATATGACGTCACATGGAGTGTGGTTGTCATTATTTAACATGGTGCCATCAGCTTTTCTATATTTCCTGGACTTTTTTCAAATTTAAATGCAAGTGCTAAATGGTGTTTGTAATTGCATATCTCATAGCAGTGTGCATTATTTAAGACACAATTCGAATTTGAATGCAAACCTATTTGCGTTTTAATTTATTGTATTGTATAATAGCTGGAAACTTAATATAGAAAAGCAGCGTTTTTGACCATTCATTTTCATTATCTTAATACGGTCTGACTCTGACATAAAAAACGCCCATTTTATTGTATTTCGTCATCATGGCCCTTCAGCTCTGCCAAAATGAATATTTGCAATCCTGTTTGCAGCTGCATTTCCACTGTCAGCAAGGCAGTCCTGTCATTTAAGCGCTGTGGGTTTGTTGGATGTATCAAGCGGGTTAAAGAAGCCGCGATATCCATCTGAACGGACACCGATCACTGCCCCATGGAAGGTCCTCGTCTGAGAAAGTCCTCAGCGAGCCGCCGACAGCACACAGCGCTACTGTCCACATTGGTCCAGGTGAGTAAACGTTAGCTGGCCGTTTTAGGTGGACCTTTTGCCATATACGAGTCACTAAACTTACAAAGATTTTTTTAAATTTGTTTTTGAATAGAGGGTACATGTTAGCCAGCTAGCTAGCTAGTTAGTATTTGATACAGCTGCTGAAGCCGTCCTGCTAAGGTCAGCTAGTGCTGAACAGTCGTGCTAACCACGGGAAACATAGCGGTCGGTTGGGCACGTCATTAACGCAGATTTAAAGATTTGTCTGTATTGGCTGAATATAGCGAGTTAAAACCTTATTAACGAAGGTAGCGGTCATTTTATTTCCCTTAATTCAGTGTGATTGATGGTGAAGGTCCTGATAAAAGCTAAGATCGCTAGCTAACGCTATTGATTCATCACGACAACACGCGTTTTCTGACATTAGCTGTTTCTGTTGTTGCCCTGTATAAGTATTTGCTAATAACTTCTTAGAAACACCACATAATCATTCTAGTAAAACGCTAACGTGAATAGCAGCTGTATATTGTGAATGCAGCGCTCCATATAGCGTCTACGTCGGCGTTCATCTTGGATTTTTGCGCGGACTCATTTGTAAAAGTTAGCCGTTAGCTATGTTGAGCTACATTAGCTATATTTATCTAAGCTTGTAGTCACATACATGAATAGCTCGAGGCTCATTTTAAAACTGCCAGGAGCTTATTTTTACTTTGAAACGAACTACCACAATTAATGATTATTTTACGCTATTTGAAAGTAGTTAGCTTATGCAGCTAGGTAATTTGAGTAGCTAACGCTAGCTAGCTAGCTAGCATATTTTTTAAACAGCTGCAGAAGCTACAGCTGTGTTTCTAGATGTTGGTGGAGAGTGGAAATGTGGCAGTCATTCTGATGCTTCGTTCATTAGCTTGGCTACACACGTTGAAATCATTAGTGAGGTTTTATTAGACAATGAAATGTCCTATCAGAGATCAGTTACTGAATTAACTGTTGCTGACTGTCGTCTTTTGCAAACAAATATTTGTTTCAGAAGCTGACTGGATTTGTCTGTGTGCCACAACAACATACTGGCAGTGGTCAAATAATGTGCACAAGTTAAAAAAGTAAGTATTATCACAAACAGAATAGAACGTAATGTGTTAACAATTTATGTACTCGGTTTCCTGGTTATCAGTTGCCACACTCATTTTATGACTAAGAACCTGTTTAAAGGAATGGTTTAGCAAAATATAAAATTTAAACAGTTTTCTGCTTACCCCCAATGTAGACTTTTGGCCAAGACATAATTGGTGTCCAAAGTTTGTGTCTTTAGTTTAGCAATGGAGCTGTGAAGCTAACATTTCTAACAAACACTAGAAGTCAATATTCACCTAAATCATTTCATGTCTTCATTAAGGTGGCGCAGACTTCTCAGTGTGGTGTGCAACACAGTATGACATACTGTGGGCTATAAAAGTGAACAAAACGTCATCACAGAGTCAGTGCCGTGGGTGACCTCTCTGTCTCAGGAGTAAGATTGCTGAGCTAGAATAGTTTTTTATGGAAATGACAGTCATAATTACTGATCCAACATCAGTCCTGTGCAGCCTTTGTGTTGCCTAAAATGGCCGTAGTGGTGAGGTTTTGTTCATTTCTACAGTTCAAAGTAAGTCTTTCTGTGTCCTACACTACACTGACAAGTCTGCTGACTCTAATGGAGACCTAGATGAGGTTTGAGAGGGTTGAGAGAAGTTTTAGGGATGTATTTATGGAAAAACATCTGGGTTAATATTGTCTTCTAGTGTTTGAGCAATGTTACACATAACACCAATACTAAACTAAAGAAGCAGAATCATTAATTGTAGTCATTTCAGTCAAATTTGATATTGGAATTTGCAAGGCATATAAAAAAGTCAAATAATAATTCTGAGCTTTATAGCTGCATTCTGTGGACTGTGCTTTGTTCTTTTAACAAATAAACACTGACCAAAATAAGAGAGAGGCTTTTCAGTGCCCAGCAGTCTAGTACAGAGTTTAGAAATCTCATGAGTCTTAGGAGAATATATAAAATTAGAGACAGTATATAAAATTAGAGACAAGCTCAAGCCCTTTGCATTTAAAAGAACATATCACAACATCACTACTTCGCAGTTGTTTAGAAGCCCACTGAAATAAACATTTAAAAATAACTAAAAAATAGATTTGTAATTATCAGTTGCCTCCTTATTGGCTACATTGCAGGCAGGAAAATATTATGTATATTATATGGAAACATATTTCAGATTTGAAAGGTTTAAATATATGTCAATTAAAAGCTGTCAAAGGTCTTGTGGCATTGTGATTATTAATTGATAAGTAAGACTAAATAAGTAATAAGTATGATGTTAGAATGGCTTTCACCTTCCACAGATCTGTCTGTTTTTGTCAAGAGATTTTAATGCTTTGTGTGTGCATTAATTGTGACAGTCTTGTTTGTGTTTTATGTTAGCTGCAGTTCTGAAGTGGAACAACAAAGCCACAGCTCATGAGATGGATTCTGCTGTGGCCGATCACCTCAAGCATGCCCCCTGCAGAGCTTTTAACTTTTTTTTTTCTTTTCTTGTTTGACTTCTCAGAAACTAAAATGCAAGATTTTGTCTTGTTAAATAATCACCTTGATTTCCTTTACATTGAAAATCATGTACAATACTGACACAGCTTATGGTTCAAAGGTTTGAAAATTCTTTCTGAATTGATGCATAGGATCTTTGTCTTAGTCCTAACGAAGTTCATGGTCCAGTTTCATGTTCCACAAATGAAATTAATAATAACTACACGTTTTCAATAAAGTTTCCATTTAACAAAGTTTGTTTTATGTTTACATTGGAATCAAAATTGTTAGTTAACTACAGGAAGATTTTTTGCATGGGGAAAAGGTTCTTCACATTGACAGATAATGCGTTGTATATGTTTCTATATAGAAAAATTCATTCTATATAGTACCAATAAAGGTTGTTCTATTGTACAGTGTATTAAGCATGAAATGGTTCTATATAGGATTCATGCTAAAGTGTTATCTTTTTTGAGAGTGTACTAGTGGAAATTAATTTTGGATGACTTTTCAATGCCTTTTAATTTATAATTTATCATTTTTTCCAAGGCCTTAGAACACCTTAAAATGACGTTTTTACTGTGACTTTTTGGTCGTCTTTTCAACAGTTAAGCTTGAACGTCTTTTCAACTTTCATTTTCAACCATAAGAAAACTTAAATTAAACAGCAGTTATGTACGTGATTTCAACGTTAAATCAACAGCCTTAAAATGACGTCTTTAATATGACTATTTTGGCCGTTATTTCAACTGCTAAGTTTAGACGTCTTTTCAACTTTCATTTTCAACCATAAGAAAACGTAAATTAAACAGCAGTTGTGTACGTGATTTCAACGTTAAATCAACGGCCTTAAAATGACGTCTTTAATGTGACTATTTTGGCCGTTTTTTCAACGGCTAAGTTTAGTCGTCTTTTCAACTTTCATTTTGAACCTTAATAAAGCGTAGTTTAAACGGCAGTCAGATACGTGATTTCAACGTTGTTTCAACGGCCAAATGTTTACTGGGTTCAGACTGGAGATCGAGTTCAGCTGAGAACAACTGGATTCTGTTCACGAGACGTCACGAGGCCACATGGCAGTTTGTTGCAGTTGCGGGTTTCGGCCACCAGGTGAGGAGTTTAATAACTGAATTACAGAGTCCTAATGTCCATCTTTTTCACAGCAAAGACAGAAACACTTCACCTTCTTCAACAGTGTGAAAGTGGATCTGACTGAATGAAGATGTTTAATGTGCTACTTAATCTGAGCTGTTTTACAGACATTAGACCCTTTAAGTGTTGTTTGTTGTGATGGTAGAAATGTTCCTTCTGACGTTCCACAGTTCCATCCACTGATTGACCTCTCCATGCTCCACTCACAAATCAGGACCCTCTTAGCTGCTGTTACCAGGTTAGACCAGCTTCACACAGCACTGGGATTCAGTCTAATCCCATTCAGCCTAATGAGAAACTGTAGAGCTGAACTCAGTTTGTATCAGAGAGCCTAAACTGACCCTCACAGAAATGTCCTGTAGGAGTCCTGAAGGAGTTGGACTCTCTGTTCAGGGATTGTGCAGCTATCAAACAGAACAAACTCCTTCAGGACAGAGTTCATACCTAAAGGAAGATCCAGCTCTGTTTGTGAGACACACTGACTCAGCTTTATTAACAGAATAGATCAGAAACTGTGATGAAGTCTAGACCGTCTCGCGCTCCGCTCCTCCTCTGCTAGCGGCTCCAGACGCCTTTGATGATCGTCTGAATCTTTTGGAGTTCGAATCATCAGCTGTCATTCCTGCTGATCTGAATGAGCCACTAACAACACGACTAGCAGAGCGTAATTTAACTGGATCAGGAGAGACTTTATCTCATCTAACTGCTCTGTATGATGGGATATTCAGTTTTACTGTGTGCTGGGTCTGTTTTTAAGGACTTTTCAGTGTCCAGTGTTAGCTGACCTCATCACTTTTGCACCATTTGTTAGCTAGCATGCTAGTGCTAGTCTATCATCTGAATGAGTTTGGAAAAGCAATTAGCATAATTTAATAACAGCATTTAGAATAATAATAAGCAGAAAGGCTCAACATTCATTTATCAAAAAAGTAAACAGTGTTTTTTAATAATTTCAGTAGTAGTGATGTGAGCTATATGCTAACAATAAAGCTAACTTTAAACTAGCTAGCTGCTGTTTTCTCTAGTGTTTACTGAAAAAGAGTAATTTTTGAAACGGCTTTTTATTAATATATTTTAATATTTAACAAAGTAATTGTTGGTAACATCATTAATTTTTGAAAAATATAAATATGTTTAACACAGAGAAACTGGCAAAAATATTATTTAAAAATTATTTATTTATTTACATTGTTCACTCGTTTACTGTGTAAATTAATTTTTATACAGTACTACAACTTTTAATCCAGCAAGATATAAACATAAAAATGCAAATTAAGATGAAAAACATTAAGAACTAAAATAAATGTCTAGTTGTGTACAAAGTGGTTGATATCCTCTGAGATAGTTTGAAGAACACAGTCTGGTTCCAGGTTTCTCCTGGACGCCTCCAGAGACCACATGGATTATTAAATTCCATTAGAAGCAGCTGGTTTAACATAATGAAGCACTGATTAGATAAAGCAGGTATTGGATGAACACTAAAATAATGCTGGGCTTCGGTTAAACAAAAACACAGACAAACAAAATATTTGCCCATCGTTTAGTATCATGTGTGTTTTTTTATTTCACCTGAACAAATAAACACCGACCAGATAAACAACTTTAATTTCAGTTCAGTTTCAGGTGCATAAAACTTTTGCTCAGTACTGAATAAATAAAACACTACTTTCAGTTTCAGTCTGTAAAGCTGTGAAGAGTCAGTTTATTCTGATATCCTAAAATATTTCTGTGTGATAAAAGATCCTCATTTATAATGTTGAACAGGTGTGATGATCAGTGGTGCTGAGTTTTTACCTCCATCATTGTTGCAGGGGCAAAAGTATGGATAGATCTTCTCATTGAAAGACTGACCAGTGAAAGAGTAGATATGAGATCTGGCCTCAACATCATAGAAGGAGACCAGACCCTCCTCATAATTCACAAACACCCCCACCTTCTGGGGGGATTGTTTCAGGGAGAGTGGAACAGAGGGAGAGTCCACAGCTTTATATTCAGTCTCATTCCTCAGACACACAGACCAGTATCCATCCTCAGGGCTGGGTGTAATCTCTCCCTTCCTGTTACTGGACTCTCTGGCCACTCCTAAATCCCACTTAGTCTTCCCTCTGACCTGCACCTCATAGTAAAATCTCCCTGAGGAGAACCCCTCCTTTCCCAGAACACAGACACACTGATTAAACCTCTCTGGATTATCAGGGAAATTCTGTCGAGTATCTCCATGTGTTAATTGTTTCCCATCGTCAGAGAGGATGAGTTTAGGATGAGCTGTTTCAGGATCCAGAGTTACATCCACTGAGAGAAACACACACAATTTAAACCCATTTAACAACAAACAGCATGAAATAAAGAAGATACATATATTTAGTCCTGTGATCAATAAGAATCTACAAACCTGAATATTGTTGAATTCTCTTGATTTCTGTTTCAAAAAAGGAACGAAAGACAATAGAAGTGAATCCACTCATTTATAATTTTGCTTAAGTAAAATTCAATTCTTCATTAATCTAATCCTAAACAGATCCCACTAACCTGAACACTGAAGGACATAGAATACATTTTTTAACACTTGAACATTAATGCTGTAACTTTTAGACCAAAAGACACATCATAAATTGTAAATTTTTAAAATGTTCAGTAAAAATACAATTTGTTGAATAAAATGTTTGAAAACCGTGAAGCCCATAAGTAAGACATTAAATCCAAATAAAACTGTTCCAGAGCTCTAATTTGAGGTGACAGTATCAGGTTTAATCGTCCAGTCCAGTTCTAATTCGTCTCCTACTGCTCTGGTTTACTATCTAGTTAGCAGCTCTCAACTGTATTTATATCTAATAATTAAAGAGAGTTAAATCTACTGAGCTGTTTGAAGTCATAGGAAACTTATTCAGACTGAACTGAGCAGAAAGTCCAACATCTCACTGAGTTCATCACATGATCTGGTAGAAAGCAGGTTTAAGAGTCTTAAACACCTTTAATATATAGAAATACAGTCATTTAGCTGCTCACTGATAAGAGTTAATCCAGAATGCTGTATTTTTAAGAAGCTGGTTATAAAGACGCTGTTTCCTCTGCTGTCCTGCTCCGCTCATCACATTAAAACAGCACAGCATCCTGTTCAGTTTGGGTAGATTGGGCTCAATCCAGAATATCACTTTACCCTAATTTATATAAAAATAACTGTTCATCACTAATCTGTAGTATTTCAGTTTAATTTCTCCATCAAAAAATATTCAGTAGTTACAGCTCTAATAAAGAGTTTCTAATATAATAATCCAGGATTTAGTACTGGAATGTACCAAACCTGCATTTGTATCATCAGGACCTTGATGAGTTCCTGAAATCCTGTCCTACAATAAAACTCCTCAGAAGCTCTTACTGCTCAGTAACACTTACTGATGTCAGGAAGCTTCTCCATCTCCTCACTGAGTGACCGCTGAAGCTGAGTCAGAGCTCTCCTCAGAGTCTCCACACTCAGATGAGTCTTAATACTGATGTCAGTCCAGTTCTTGGTGAGTGGACGGCTGCAGAGGGACGGGTAAACCTATAGTCCAGCAGGAGAGAGGAGAAATACCTCAGCATGGGCAGTGCTGTCCTGTGCTGGACTGCATTACTATTGAGAAACAGAGGGACTCTGACCTGTAGGAGGTGGAGGTGGTCCTCAGTGCGTGAGAGCTGCGCCAGCTCAGTGTCTCTCCTCTTTAGCTCAGTGATTTCCTGCTCCAGCTCTTTAATGAACTCTTCAGCCTGCCTCTCTGCTGCTTTCTGCTTCTCCTCCATCAGCTCAAGCAGCTCCGCCTGGCTTCTCTCAATGCAGCGCAGCAGAGCTCTGAAGACCTCCACACTGTCTGCTTTCTCCTTCTCTGTGATTCTCTGAAAGGGGACAAATCAGATTCTGTGTCTGTTTACTGTATTTCTGTACAAGCTTCCAGAAGGTGGAGTTTCACTGTGTAGTCATTTCACACCAGTGCATCTAGGATCTGCCCGTCTGTCTGTAACCAGTTTAGATCAAAATGAAAGATGCAGTTTAGAGTCTAATAGAGCAAACTTTAATAACTCTTAATTAAAAATATAATTACAGTGCAGCTTTCAGTTTTTTTCCATGGTGTCATCAGTTAAATTGACGGTTTTGCTTCAACTGTTTCATGGAATTCCATGATGTGACTGAACAGGCCCCAGGTGAGTTGCCATGGAAAGACCCAATGGTCTTACACCCCTACAGACTAATTATAACCCCTTTTTTGGGATTCAAAATATTACAACCCAATTTTTACCAACATGCCCAACTCCAGCCCTCCATCTTAGATTTTTTGGACAATTTTTTGGAGTTTTAAATATTGTAAACTTTGATTATCTGAAGTCTGGAATGTTATATATTGTTGGTAATGGACAGTAATAACTGTGGACTCACTTTGTTGAGTTTTACAGAGTGTTCTGATGTCCTCAATCTTCTTCAGTCGGTCCTGGATCATCTGCTGAACTTCAGCCTGTTTCTTCACCAGCTGAGTCTGTAGAAATTAGACACATCATAACAAAGTCAGTCATTAATTTGAGGACATTTTTATCATGTACAAACATAAGAGACACTAATTCATCATCTAAATGTCCCTCACCTTCTTCTGTCCACTCTCCTCCTCTACAGGAACAGTGCTGTGAGTCTTGTGGTCTGTTTCAGTGCAGAACTGACACACACACGTCTGGTCGTCTCTACAGAACAGCTCCAGGGGTCTCTCGTGTTTCTGGCAGATGTAGTCCTCCAGGTTCTCCACAGCTTCCATCAGTTTGTGTTTCTGGAGTTTAGGTGTTGTTCTATGAAGCATCAGATGGTCACTGCAGTAAGATACTCCACAGTCCAGACAGGACTTTAGAGCCTCCAGCTTCTCCTCAGTGCAGGAGTCACACAGTACCTTTTTAGGTTTGGAGGGAGGTTTTTCTGGAGCTCTGCTGGACTTCACCTGGACTGACTTCCTGAACTCAGCAGCCAATCCAGAGATGAACGTGTTCACACGTAGCTGAGGCCTTTTGGAGAACTCCTCCTTACAAACTGGACACTGGCAGTCTGGACTGCTGTCCCAGCATTCTTTGAGACACACCATGCAGAAGTTGTGTCCACATGGAGTCGAGACTGGATCAGTGAACACATCCAGACAGATAGAGCACTGGAGCTGATCTTCAGACAGGACACTGCTGGAGGAAGCCATGACTGACTGAAGAGACAGAGAGACATCATGAAGGGGATCTGAGACGAGAGCTGAGCAGCACTGATAAAACTCAATATGGAGACGTTTATCAGAGATATGAATCAGAATATCACAATATCAGACAGTATTTAAGGTACACTACATGGCCAAAAGTTTGTGGACACCTGCTCATCCAATGGACCCATTCCATTGGCAATGCTCTTATATGGAGTTTATACAAGCTTTGTGTGCATTTGAACTCCTGTGTCAGCAGTGTGTGCACCTTAATGCAGCTGAGTTCACTAATAAGAAGGGGCGGCCACAAACTTTTGGACATATAATGTAGCATTAATAAAGTGAATAAGTTAGTATTAATAAAGTAATTAGTCAATTTTAATATAGTGAAAATTTTAGCATGGATAGAATTAATAAGTTAGTATTAATGATGGGAATATGTTAGTGTTGATAGAGTTAAAAGGTTTCCTTAGCATTAATAAAGTGAATAAATTGGCATTAATAAAGTGAATAACAGCATTAATAAAGTTAATAGTGCTGCTACTCTGTGCTAAAAGAATGTCTTACAGATCTAATATAGTTTGTATTGATTGGACTGTTTTGTTCTGTTTTCTTCTCTTAAAATGACACCAAAAGGAACCAGACAGAACACACAAAGAATATTTAATTTATATTTAATATTTACGTATTTTGAACTGTTCTTTTAAAGCAATCTGACCCGTCTGATGACACACACTGCAGTTACCTGTCAGGTTCTGGACATCATGAGTAAAGAACTCAAACAGAGTTAAAAAGCTAAAACTAACTGTTGAAAACAGAGACCATCATGGATATAAAACTGATTATCTATCAAATATGTTTCTAACAATATCACTAAAACTGAAAAGCAGTGTTACGATATTTCAGTATCACAGTGTTCTGGTACAGACCACCCATCACCCAGCCCTGTTTGAGACCACCCAGAACACGCCCCACTGTTGATGATGACCCCCTGATCATTCAGTAACGCTGTGCTCAGTGTTTAGTGATCAGATCAGACTCTGAAAGACAGTGAACTGTATGAGAGTGAAATCAGTCCCATTGGTCTGCCTGATCAGCTCCACACTCCACCTGTTTAACGGCTCTAAGAGCTGCTCTTTGTGCTGACCGCTCTCTCTGTCTGCTCTCGCCCTGTCAGCACAGATCACACAGCTCAGCTCCAACATGCCAGATAAATCCACACACAGAGCATCTCCAACAGTTCAACACCAGTAAATGTCCTGAAGCAGCTGAAGGCATTACTGACAGAAATGTGCTGAACAGCAGAGCCTCAGCAGAAACACTGCAGATCAGAAACCTTAGAACCTTCAGCAGCTTCACCTTTCTGGACTCTTGTTCCTGAGAGTTCACCTGCAGGAGCTTCAGCTTCTCTACAAACACTGGAGGAGCTTCAGACTGGAGATCGAGTTCAGCTGAGAACAACTGGATTCTGTTCACGAAGCAGTTTCGCCCTTTACTTTCGCTTCTCCGCGGTGACGTCACTAGGTCACGCCCACCGTTTCAACATGGCGGCCTGTTGCAGTTGTGAGTTTCGGCCACCAGGTGGAGAAGTTTAATAACTGAATTACAGAGTCCTAATGTCCATCTTTTTCACAGCAAAGACAGAAACACTTCACCTTCTTCAACAGTGTGAAAGTGGATCTGACTGAATGAAGATGTTTAATGTGCTACTGTTAGACATTCCGACAGTCCCCCAGAATAAATTTGGGAAAGCAGCGTTTGTCTACTAGGCACCCAAATTGTGTACCAAAAAGAATTAGAGAGTCTCAGTGAACATTTTTAATCAAGCTTACAATTGACAAATTTCTTTGCATTTATTTATTTTATGCATTGTTTTAATGTATGCTTTTTATTTTAAATATTGTTGTCATTTTTATTAATGATCTTTTGCTTATTTTGTTTTGTTTTAAAAATTGATTCCTTGTTTAAACGGCTTTGTTCTTTTATTCATATGACTTTCACTGTTTTATACATTTTGTATCCCATTTCTATTATTACTTTTAACTGTGGGACTCCTTTTTTTCTCTTCAATTGTTTGATTTTTGATTATCTTTTTACTTTTCCAACTCTGTTGTGTACTTATCTTTCTCTGTGTTTTTATTTCTCTCTGTTCATTTTACTGTAAAGCACTTTGAGCTGCATTTAATGTATGAAAGGTGCTATATAAATAAAGACTAATTCTTCTTCTTATTATTATTATTATTATTTTAGTTGTGATGGTAGAAATGTTCCCTCTGATGTTCCACAGTTCCATCCACTGATTGACCTCTCCATGCTCCGCCCACAAATGAGGACCTTCTTAGCTGCTGTTACCAGATTAGACCAGCTTCACATAATGCTTTTAAAAAATCTCTTTCAGCTGAATAAGCAACTGTGGTTCTCAAATTGTTTTTGTCAAAATACCTAAATTTATGCTTTGGTCCATTCAGGAGGCCGAGCGTCTGAGTAGGCAGTATTTAAGGCAGTATTTGTGCACTCCAGAGACAAAGACTGTCCTATTTAAAAGCAGCAAAAGTCAGCTGTATTTCAAAGGTGCCTGACTTTGACTAAATTTGAAGACAGTGTCGCAAGTATACTTCTCAATGAAGGCAATCCCATAATACTGTGCAAAGTCTCATCACCTTAGTTTGATAAATATGGTGGACGGAGCGGCCATTTCTGCTACCCTTTTTTCTGCCAAGTTATTTCTTGTCTTCTGTCTTTACTGTTTTGATAGACTGCCACATTTTACCATATTTACCATATTTGGGTTTGTTGATCACTAGAAATCATTCCTGTGGTTAAATTTAGGCAGTTTGTTTGTTTAACCTGACAGGCTGTATTTGTAGCTAAAGCTAATGTTATTTAGCTTAGCTAACAGGCTGGCTGTGTAAATACGCTGGTTCTTCAATACAAGAGAGAGTCCAGTTTAAAATACTGGTTGTTCACTGTTTACAGGTTCACAGGTGATGCTGTTTAGCCAGAACCTTTTCCAGTGACAGCTGGGCCATGGAAATGGAGTGGACCGAAGATACTAGCTCTCTGAGACTGCTATTGGATTATACATACTTTATCTTGGTTATGCCCCAATCGATTTTAAGGTACAAGTCGTTCTTCTCACAAAAGGTGTGGTCATTGTCATTGATGACTGTTTAGGGCCTGAGTAATCCATTCTGGGGATAAGGAGCATTGCTGAGTGTTTGTACGAGCCCTAGGAAGGTGTTGTCATTTCAGGCCCAACTGAACTCCCACTGCTGGGCAAGAATGGGGCCAAGACATTTGCTGGCTGGAGGAATCCACTCCACTGTTTCAAGGCTATGTTAAACTCCCAAAGGACACTACCATAATGTTCCCCCAAGAAGCTGAGAAGCTGGTGTGGGGATGCATCAGTAAGGGACCCCAAGCTCAGGATATAAGATGCTGGTGAAGCCACTGTTGGATCATGACATGAGTGGAGACAGGGTCGGGCCTTAGTAACCACCTTCGGAAGGTACATACATATTCAAATGTGTAATCCAACCCCCTACCAAAATAATCAAATTAATATCATCACAATAGCTTTTACTTATCGCTGTTGTCGGAAGAAAGATACTTTGATAAAGTACTGTAGTGTTCACTGCTGGTAAAAGAGGCACAGTCATAAAATAACAGTCATTAAATTAAATCACGTGAGCTGGAATGTAACAAATGCATACAATGACTGACATGCACTGAGAAATGAGGAATCAACACTGTGTTCTTCTAACCAGCATATTAATAACTTCCTGCCGAGTGCTTTAAACAATGTTCTTGGATGCCTAAGATTTTTGCCCAAGACTGTATATATTATTTTACTATTAAACCTATGAGACAAGAAATCTACTGTGACTTTTATGCTCATAGTAATACTACTTGTCTTGAGTATATGTTTAGGTTATATTATAACAAGTATTGCTGATAGACATCATTAAGCTCTTTTACAACTGACTTTTTAGTTTTCCTTTGGTGCTGCTTGCATTTACTACCTGGCTAACATTTACCTGCACTCCTCTCTCTCTGCCTCTCACCATATTCTAGTTTTCAAAGTCGTTTCAATGAACGAGTTACTGAAATCTCTTTTCGTGACATTACATTTGTGTTCACGCACATTCAAATCATCAAAATGTGAATCTCTCAGCTGTAGTCTGCTGTACCTGCCTGTCTGTCCTCAGTTTTCCAGCCAAACACACATACAGTGATTGATTTATACATTTGATTATCCATTTTTATGTTTTTCTGTCAGTAATAAATCTTTCTGGTGGCCACTGTACAGTTGAATAGTAGCCAAAAAACAGGAGGTGTGTATTTGTCATGCATCCCCCTGAAACTGACTCCTTGGAGAACTCCAATTCCCAGAACTCCCTTGGTGATCACATGACTGTCACACTACCATCCACAGCCAGTCACCAATCCCCTTCACCTGAATACGAATCAGGTGCACCCGTCTTGTTTGTCGTATGACCTATGATAGATAGTATTTAAAGCCTGGGCTTTGGTTTAGTCATTGCGAGATATTTGGACTTTCTGCCTTTAGTCTTCCCCCATTTTTGGACCATGTTTGCCTGTTCCTGTCTTTTATGTTTGTTCTTTTTTGTATCTGTCTGACTTTGGATTTGACCCACGCATGCTTAATGACCACAAGTATTGAGTATGTTCTAACTAGTAAAGTGTAATTTTCTATTTTTACGTGCAAGTGTGTGGCTGGTTCTGTCACATTACAGAATACCTTAGCAACAATGCAGATGGCAGATCCTGAGGCTTTCCAGAAGGCCATTGTTAACCAAGGCCATCTGTTGGAACAACATCAGCAGGTATTAATAGGGGTTACTCATTCTCTTGAGGCTTTGACACAAAAACAAACTGAACAACAAACTCAACTAGTTCCGTTTGTAGCCGCTGTTAAAGAATTGACATCCCACTTACGAACTTTAGGCATGGCTGCCGATAAAGAAAGCACTGTTATTCTCCATACCTCCGCTGAGGTTCCTAGTTCTGCTTTTTCCCTTAGTAAGCCAGATAAGTTTGATGGCAACCCAGATAAATGCTGCATATTTTTACTCCAATGTTCTCTTTTACATCTCTCCACTGCGTTTTGATCAGGCCAAAATTTCTTTTGTGGTCTCTCGGCTGTCAGATAGGGCTTTGGAGTGGGCTACTGCAATCTGGCCCCAAGTTTATAACCTGTCATATGAACAATCTTTGAAGGATTTTCACACAGTATTTGATCATCCATATGAAGGAAAAATCAGTGGTGAATTTCTTTCTAAACTATGTCAAGGTAATCGTTCACAACTAGAATTTTGCACTTTGGCAGGTAGTGGTGGCTGGAATGAGCCAGCTTTACTAGTCCTGTTTTGACAAGGACTCAACTCTGATATTATTACAGAACAAGCCTGTAGAGATGAAGAATTGACTCTCGATCGGTTTAACTCACTCGTGACCACAAGACCTGTAGAGTAAAGGCTAAGCCACCGACTATGATCCCCGAGGAAGACACGAGACCTGTCCTACCAATGACCAGGAAGAGCCCATGCAGTGTGATTCGTTGTCGTTTACATGGGGGTCTGTGCTTGTATTGTGGCAGTGCTGGTCACATTCTGCATGACTGTCAGGCCTGTTCACACAGACCTCAAGCACTGACCCTGTCATGCATGGGACTACATCTCTAGGGACTCCATTTCCCAGAATCTCGGGAGGGTTCACATGACCCTCAGCCCTCCATCTCGCTCCAATCACTTCTCTCTGTCTCCAGAGTATTAACTTGTCACACCTGTTATAGTATGATTAGTGTTAGTATAAAGCCCGGGCATGTAGGTTAGCTAGTTGCGAGGTATTGCTTCTTGTCCTGAGAGGTACTGATCGTTCTATATTCTGTTGGGTGATTTTTCCAGTTCTGACTGTTTTTGATATTCTGATTTTTGTCCTTTTTGTCTTTACCCTTTGGCCTCTGGTTGCCTGGTGTTATGTTTGTGTTTTTGCGTTTTTTGTCACTTCTGGATTTGACCATCGCCTGTTCACTGACCACATTTTTGGATCGCGATTCCAGCATTAAAGCCTCTCCTTCTCTTTTCATCCGCGAGCGTCTGAGTTATTCTGCCTCATTACAGACCCCTGGAAAGCACGTGGAGGTTGTCATTTTTTCTGTCATTCCAGGCCGAACTGACTCTGAAACAGAAGGAAATTTTATTCACACTAAACTTCTGGAAGAGTTGCAGATTCCTGTGGAGCCCCTGAAAAGACGCCATTGTGAGTTGTGCTGGACGGGGATCCTGTAGGAGCAGGCTCCATAAGGCAAAAGACTGAACCTGTTGAATTTTGTACCAGTGCCCAACCATGAACTTATTTCCTTCTTTGTTCTTAATTCTTCAGAATTCTCTATTATCTATAATAGACTGTCTATATTATGTATATAGTGTGAATTCCACTTAGAGACGGTAGCCTTTATAGGATATGTGATTAGTTCTAATGGTGTCGTGATGGAAGACCAAAAGGTTGATGCTGTGATGAATTGGCCCAAACCCATGTCAGTCAAGGAACTACAACATTTTCTAGGATTAGCAAACTTTTATCGACAGTTTATTTGAGAGTACCATAGTGGTACCTTTGACTGCCCTCTTGAAGGGTGCCCCTTGAAAACTCTCCTGGTCTCCACAAGCAGAGAGTGCTTTCTGACCCTCAAAGAGTTGTTCACATCAGCTCCTGTGCTAAAACATCCCGACCTTTCAGAGCCGTTCATGGTTGAAGTAAATGCTTCAGAAACTGATGTGCAAGCATTTTTTTATTTTAGAGAACAGGCAATCCCCCTAAACTACACCCCATAGCATTCTACTCCCACAAACTCACTCCCACTGAGCGAAATTATGGAATAGGTGACCATGACCTCTTAGCAGTTAAACTAGCCCTGGAAGAATGGAGAAATCGGTTAGAGAGTGCTAACAACCCATTTCTTGTTCTCACAGATCACAAGAACCTTGAATATCTTAGTGCTACAAAACGTCTGAACCCCTGACAAGCTCTCTAGGTTCAGATTCAGTATTTCTCCATTTGCAGCGGTTCTCCGAACCAAAGCAGATACTCTGTCTAGAATCCACCAGAATCAAGATGAGGAAGACAAAAACAAGATTTCAAAAATATCCTACCTCCACACATTAATATTTCTGCTATTCATTGGGCCAAAGACAAAGGGATAGAAAAGGCACTAGAGAATCTCACAATACTTGAGCAGTGGCCCTGTGGAAAGACTTACATTCCTGAAAGGTGTAGAGACAGGCTTATCACTTAGGCTCACTCATCACTTACTTCTGGTCATCCCGGAGAGACATGTGTGAGTTGAAGCTGCCGCTGAAATAGTGCATGTTGTTCCAGCAACAACTGACCTATCATGGTCATGTAGTGAGTCAGTGTGGGGTAGCTTCAGATTGGAAAAGACAGTTGTAGAAAAGTGAGAAGTCTGCCAAACTGTGCAACAGGTTACATCTGTCCTGGGTTTTGAAGGATAATATCATCTATTCAATCATGAGATTTCTTTGTGTACTCAAAGGTACAGCTAATGCAGCAAAAAATGCCCCAATCAACTGGACAGTAGAATGTGAAAAATCCTTTCAACAGTAATAAGTGATTCTTTATGCAAGCAGGAGTCTTCATCCTACAGAAAAATGTCAAAATTACAAATTACTCAAGCTAGAACTGTTGGCCATGAAGTGGCCATTACGGAAAAGTTCAAACACTACATGTGAGACATGGTCATTGAGGTTTACACAGAAAATAATCTTCTGGTGCACCCAGGAAACTGCTCAGTTGGAGGCAGTAGTACAATTCGGGGGGGTCTCAATCACCCAATTATAGTTACACAATCAAGTGCAGGTCAGGAAAAACTGACCAAAATGCTGATGCTCAGTCTAGGTTGTCCAGCAAACAGAGGGGACATGATGGTGAGGGTTGTACATGAAAACTTCAAAGATAGCTTTGGGAATGGGCTAGATGAAAATGGTAAACAAGGTCTTGTATCAACAATTGGGCAAGGAACCAAGTGACTTCTTGAAGTCACTTGTTTTAGTGCCCAGGAGGCAGCCACACTCACCAGATGAAATACCACCAATAGGCTGGCTACTTGAACCTCAACAGAATCACCACTTTATTGAGTAAGAGGCTATTCTGCCCAAGGATGGCTCAGGATGGGGCGTCTTGGGGGGACCATGGGCACTATTATGTGTCATGTGCTCAGAAGGACACTATAAAGGGAATGACTGTGCTCCTTCCTTTGGTGGTGAGTGTACTTTATCCACTAGAAGTTTTCTAAACTTTTGCCTGTTTTTTAGATTTGTGTTTTATTGGAAAAAACTGAGTTCACTTACAGGATCTCTGTGTCCCTGTGCAAGTCAAGCATTTTAGTCTTTCTGCCTCCTCTGTCATTATTGAACTCTACACTGCTGTGACGCAAGCAGCACACGTTGCTTGAGACCCATTATTCGGTATACAAACTGTTGAGGTGTCTCGCTCTCATGCTGTTTAGCATTGCTCAACTCCTGAAAGAGCTCGGTATTACTTTTGTCTCGAATATGAGATCTCAGTAGGCGCTTTCATCTATCAACTGTAAGGTCAACCCTATCTGTTAGAAACTCTTTGAACGTACCTGGTTTTGTCATTCTCAGCACAGACCTACTAATTTCTGACTCTGTGAATCCATCTCTCAGACCCTTATCTGTCTGTTTACAAATACAATTGTAAGTGATTTCAGATCCCTAGCTTGAGTAATGCCACCTGCTGGGGGTTTTATTTCACTTCGGCTAGGACTGGGGTGGGATGATTTGTTGCTGTAGGTCACTGGCTGTTCCTTTCCAGATCATCCCACCCCAGTCCCACCCCAGTCCTCACCCAGTTTCCCAACCCTGATTTTTCTCTTGCCTGTTGAATACAATCACAACACTTTTCCTTTGCAGCAACCTTTGGTGGCTGGATTTTTTGAGTGGATTGTGGGTGAGTAGCAGGCATCTCACTACCATTTGAGGGCCCCTATTTTACTGAAACTAATAAACCTTTTATTTTTCAGTCCTCTGCACACACACTGCTTATACCAGATGTTAAACTAGCCCATCTTGTGCAAATACCCCATGAGATTAGCTTTGTAGTGTGAGAAAGTATACAATGAAGTAGATATATTATTTGTGCTTATGGTATATCAGGGCTATACATACAGTTTAACTGTGTACAGATTAAATGTAAGCAGATTAAATAACTTGAGAAGGTTAAAATGAATTTAACAAGTCTTCTTTTAAAGTGATAGAATATTTTGAGACATCCTAAACACAAATTAACTGGTCAAATGATTCATTCATTTATTGATTTATTCATTCATTCATTGTGTATTTTGTATTTTCAAACAAAAGTATTTTTCAGTTCATCAGGTTTTTTTCTGACATAAAATAGTTTTCCATGAGAAAAGATCCTCATTTATAGTGTTGAACAGGTGTGATGATCAGTGGTGCTGAGTTTTTACCTCTATCATTGGTGCAGGGGCTAAACAACGGATAGAGTTTCTCTTTGAAAGACTGACCAGTGAAAGAGTAGATATCAGATCTGGCCTCAACATCATAGAAGGAGACCAGACCCTCCTCATAATCCACAAACACCCCCACCTTCTGGGGAGCCTGTTTCAGAGAGAGTGTAACCCGGGGAGAGTCCAGAGCTTTATATTCAGTCTCATTCCTCAGCCACACAGACCAGTATCCTTTCTCAGGGCTGGCTTTTATCAGCCCCTTCCTGTTGAAGGACTTTCTGGCCACTCCTATATCCCAGTCTGTCTTGCCTCTGACCTGCACCTCATAGTAAAATCTCCCTGAGGAGAACCCCTCCTTTCCCAGAACACAGGGAGATACATCAAACCTCTCTGGATTATCAGGGAGGTTCTGTCGAGTGCCTCCATGTGTTACTTGTTTCCCATCATCAGAGAGGATGAGTCTAGGATGAGCTGTTTCAGGATCCAGAGTTACATCCACTGAGAGAAACACACAATTTAAACCCATTTAAACAACATACAGTAGTTTATAGAGAAGACACAGGACAGAAATATGCTATGTATTTAGTCATGTTAGTCAAAATACCTGCATATTGTTGAACTTCAGTTTGTTCTGTTTGAAAAGAAAAAATGAACTCTATCATTGACAATTAAAATCAATAAATTGGTTAATTAAACACCTGTTTCATATGAATTATGGAATAAAATTATAACATTAATGCTAAATAGTACCCAGCATAGTGATTAGTGCTTTAGTACTACACATGGAGGGGATTTAACAGTGAATAGGCTAAGGGAGATTAAAACAGGAGACCAGGGCTTGACATATAAGAAAGCTTAGATAGATTTAAAAAGACAACACTTCAACAAAACACAAGATAGCAGAAATGTTTTGCCTTGCAGGGAGCACTGTGCCACCTGCATGATTTGAAATTTGAAACCAAACATGCCAAAAATGTTAATGAGGAATGAGGAATCAGAATGTGGAACATTTGTGGAACAGAATTCAAAAAGAATCTGAACAAACTTTATGATTTCTAAAAAAAGTGAAGGATGATACCCAGCTCTATCCATGTCTGACAGCCTAATAACCTACGGTGCAGTGAAAAAGCATTTGATTTTTTATTTTGGTTTTCTCCATTTTTGTATATGTCACACTATATATGTTTAAGATCCTCATACAAAATGTAATATAAGACAAGGGGAACTTGGGGATATAACAGTTTTTAAATAATCATTTCATTTACAGAATGAAAAAGGTTCTGCATCATCTATATCACCCATGTGAAAAAGTACTTGCTATAAACTTAATAACTCGCTGTGGCACCATTAGCAGCAACAACCATGACCAGGCCCTTCCTATAACTGGAGATCAGTCATGTTATTGTGGAGGGATTGTGGCCCACTTTTCTTTGCAGAATTGCTTTAATTTAAATACAGTGGGAGGGTTTCGATCATAATCTGCCACTAGGCCAATCAAAAATTTTAATTTTCTTTTTTTTGAGCCATGAGATGGACTTGTTCTTGTCTTGCTACATAACCTAATTGCGCTTGAGCTTCAGTTTCACAGACTGATGAGTGGACATTCTGCTCTAGGATTTTCTTGCAGAGAGCAGAGTTTATGTTTGCATCAATTATGGCAAGTCGTCAAGGCCCTGAAGCAGCAAAGCATCCGCAATACCATCACACTACCACCACCATGTTTCACTGTGGGTATGATGTGTTATAGACAGGTGGTGGGACCCCTGACTTCCAACAAGTTCCACTTTTTGACTGGAATCAGAATCTCCCTATTTTCCTGAAACCACATTTTCTTCCTATGTAAAACTGTGCCTAACCTTACAGCATCTGATTTATCAGTAAATACTCACCGACATCAACAACCTTCTTCATTTCCTCACTGAGTGATCGCTGAAGCTGAGTCAGAGCTCTCCTCAGAGTCTCCACACTCAGATGAGTCTTAATACTGACGTCAGTCCACTTCTTAGTGTGTGGATGGCTGCAGAGGGACGGATAAACCTATAGTCCAGCAGGAGAGAGGAGAAATCCCTCAGCATGGTCAGTGCTGTCCTGTGCTGGACTGCATTACTATTGAGAAACAGAGGGACTCTGACCTGTAGGAGGTAGAGGTGGTCCTCAGTGTGGGAGAGCTGCTTCAGCTCAGTGTCTCTCCTCTTTAGCTCAGTGATTTCCTGCTCCAGCTCTTTAATGAACTCTTCAGCCTGTCTCTCTGCTGCTTTCTGCTTCTCCTCCATCAGCTCAAGCAGCTCCGCCTGGCTTCTCTCAATGCAGCGCAGCAGAGCTCTGAAGACCTCCTCACTGTCTGCTTTCTCCTTCTCTGTGTTTCTCTGAAAGGGGACAAATCAAATTCTGTGTCTGTTCACTGTATTTCTGTACAAGCTTCCAGAAGGTGGAGATTCACTGTGTAGTTTGAGAGGTTTATTGTTCCAATAACGGATCTAAAAGCTATAAAAATTAAGTAAATAAAGTAAATAATGCCAGTAGCCAGTCCATCAAGTCAAATGAACATGATCCATGTAAACTGTCCCAATTAGCAAAAATTTAGAAAATAAACATAAAAATGGAACCATACAGTCTAGAGCACTGCTGGTTTGTGGCCTTGCAAATCCACCAAAAACAAGAAGAGTCAAGAATTCACTTCACCTACCTACTATGTGCCAACAAAAAAGTTGAACACCTCAAAAATATGTAGAACAAGGTAGCTAAGGTGGCTTAGTTAACAGAGTGGCAAACACACTGGGCAACCGCAGTTAGGCTTCTCTCAGAAATATCCAGTCACGACGCCTTTTCATTCCTTGGTGTTACGTCTTATGGGGCCAACCAAACTGACCATTGTTGACTAAATCAATTTAGTTCACTACCTGAACAGTATACTTTAATCAATTAATTGAGAACATTTAGGCAATTAGACCTACTTGCTGATGTGTCTTCTTGAACATGAATGTACATTTGTCACACAATATCTACTATCTATTATCTATAGACTATCTATTGAGAAAGCACTTATAAAAAGTGCCTGCTATAACATTCTTTACGCAATAATATATATATAAAATGTATTCAAATCCATCACAAACTGTGTGTCAAATCGATCACCCTTTATTTTCTAGTTTCGTGAAACTTTCCTCGTGAATTTTTTCAGCTTTTTTCATTTCATAGATTGTAAGCTGAAGGCTCGGAATGGAAGCTGATTGACTGAAGGCTGGAAAGTTACTGAAGTATAATTATGAACAGACAGTAATAACTGCAGAATAAGTCACTGTTGAATCTCAGACTCACTTTGATGAGTTTGACAGAGATTTTTATCTCTTCAATCTTCTTTAGTCGGTTCTGGATCATCTGCTGAACTTTGGCCTGTTTCTTCCTCAGCTGAGTCTGTAGAAATTAGATACATACATTTCATTAATTATTTATCATCATAGAAAAACTGTTAATAATTCCTCATCTAATTGTCCCTCACCTTCTTCTGTCCACTCTCCTCCTCTACAGGAACAGTGCTGTGAGTCTTGTGGTCTGTCTCAGTGCAGAACTGACACACACACGTCTGGTCGTCTCTACAGAACAGCTCCAGGGGTCTCTGGTGTTTCTGGCAGATGTAGTCCTCCAGGTTCTCCACAGGGTCCATCAGTTTGTGTTTCTTTAATGAAGAAACTCTCTGATGAGGGTCCAGGTGAATCTTGCAGTAAGAGGTCATACAGCTCAGACAGGACTTTACAGCCTCCAGCTTTTCCTCAGTGCAGGAGTCACACAGCACTTTTTTAGGCTTGGAGGGAGGTTTTTCTGGAGCTCTGCTGGACTTCACCTGGACTGACTTCCTGAACTCAGCAGCCAGTCCAGAGATGAACATGTTCACACGTAGCTCAGGCCTTTTGGAGAACTCCTCCTTACAAACTGGACACCGGCAGTGTGGACTGCTGTCCCAGCACTTTTTGAGACAGACCATGCAGAAGTTGTGTCCACATGGAGTCGAGACTGGATCAGTGAACACATCCAGACAGATGGAGCACTGGAGCTGATCTTCAGACAGGACACTGCTGGAGGAAGCCATGGCTGACTGAGGAGACAGAGAGACATCATGAGAGAGAATTCTGTACCACAACAATTGCCTTATGAACTTGTTACATATCTTATCTTTAATAAACACATAAAATGCCACTGGAAAAAGGAAGTTTATAAACCAGGGACATGTCATATCCAATGGAATTTGACAGGTTGATCAAGTTCACAAACTTCCTGCTTCACCTTTTCTTCAACTTCTTCATTCCAGTGAATAACTTAACCTAAGAACCTACACTTATGGACAGTTTGCACTTGTTAAATTACTGATGTCTGAACAAAACCTCTCTATTTTTGTTTTCCAGTTTTTGACATAATTTGGAAGTGTCTTTTGCCCTTTGTGCTGTAAATAAAATGTATGTTTTGTCCTTCTCCTGTAAAGTTATCATTTTGAAGACACAAGGTTTGTAATATGTCAAATGAATGTTACAGATAATAGTCCTAAGATACTTAGATAAAAGTAAATTACAGAAACCACAGACAGTTAGAGGTAAAAACGAGATAAACAATGACTTTTTTGGTTGTAACAATGTAAAAAAAATGAAAATGTAAGATTTTACCACTTTTTGTAAACCTTCTTCTTTAGCTCCTCTTAGAAAGACCAGGGAGGCTTCAAACTGGAGAATGTGTTGTGCCGAAAGTATCTTGCTTCTGGTCATGAAGCTTTCCTTTCCTTTCACATGAGCACCTGAGTGACATAAAGCCACTCCCACTGTTTTGCAGATTTTCATTAAGCAGTTAAGAACTTTGACCACTGGGTGGCAGGCAAGCAATATTAATAGATTTACAGATCAGGTTCCAGATCAATGCTTTGTCTTACAAGGATTAGTTGCAGAGAAGTTTTGTCAGCCTTGGGAAAAAATAATCATATCAAAATAAACTGTGCAAGAACTATTTTCAAAAGTGGTCCTGGATGATGCTGCTTTGGCTGTCCTGGATACAGCTGCTGTAAGTGGATCTCCTTTTGGCTTTTTCCTTTGGATTTACCTCAGTCTACTACCTCTTATCTCATGGCTCTGGTGGTCGTATACTTGGTCAAACGTTTCACCTGCATGGGTGGTGGCCGAAAGATGCCTGTTTGAACATTGTAAGAAAACAAAAGAACAAAAAGTCAACTTTTTCAATCTCTTTATAATTACCAGTAAACTGTATAATTTACCACTGTAAAAAAAATATGTTGTTTTACTTTATGAATGTGATCCTCGTTTAAAATGTTGAATTCAGCAAGTTACCAGCAATAATCATTGTATTACATTCTGTCAACCTATAATGTGAAATAAAATCTCAAATGTAACTGCCCACTAACCAATCATACTCTCTTAGAAGACTTTGTTAGTCTGATTTAGCAACAGTAACCAAAGAAACCAATCAAAAACCATGGCATTTTCAGAATGCTAGAAGAGTTAGTTAATTAGCAGAGTAGCTGATAAAAAAAACACTACTTTTGTTAACAAATTCAATCTAACGTTAATAATTGACATGGTTAAAGTGATCATATTTGATTATAAAGTAAACAATCAGTTATTTTGTCCTTTCAGCTTACATTATCTCCTCATATATTTTCTTTTTTTTATTATTTATCAAATAGAAAAAAATATTTTAGAAGTGTCATCTCTTGCTGACCGTACCTATGGGGTGCTCCAGGGGTCCAGTCTTAGCCCTATTTTATTTTCACTTTACATGCTTCCCCTTTGGTTTTTAAATTTAATTTAAATTTGAGATTTTAATATTTCTTTTATGCAGATGATACTCAGCTGTATTTCACTGTTAAATGGACATGACTTCAGTAGATTTGCCAGTCTTACTGAGAGCACTTTAGCCATTAAGGAGTGGATGTCTTGTAACTTCCTTAAGTTAAATGAAGACAATACAGAAGCTATGGTTGTTAGCCCTGACAGTTTGCAGCTCTTGGTTCATTAACATTAAAAATGAATCTCTTTCCTAGAAATTATTTTTGATTTTTTAGTTAAATTTTTCAGTGTATATTATAAGAAGCTTGTTCCATTGTGTTTTTCCTACAAACATTGCAAAAAATTAGACATGTTGTGTCAGTTTAGGACAAAGAGAGGATTTTTCATGCATCTTTGTCACCTCGCTTGGACTACTGTAATGCTTTATTTATTTGCTGTACTTAGGTACTTTTTTCGTGTATCTGTTCTTTACTGAAGAATTTCCATTTTGGACAACTTTTTACTTTCACTCCACTACATTTCAAAGTCAGATATCTCACTTTTTACTCCATCACATTATGAGAAATCTGTCGCTGGCTGTGGCAGGGCATTCAGGCCATCACTGACTACAAAGTGACATCACATGTCTGTGATGGTGATGCCTCACTCCCAGATGCACTGAGTAATTTCTATGCACGAATTGAAGCACAAAACAACAAGCCAGCGAAGAAGACCACCCCTTCTCCCACCGACCAAGTCTATCCACAGTAGAAGTTAGGACTACTCTGTCCAGAGTTAACCTTTGGAAGGCTGCTGGCCCTGACAACATACCTGGCCAAGTTATCGGGAAGTGCTGACCTGCAACTACCATCATACCTATGCCGAAAAAATCTACTGTGTCTTGCCTCAAAGACGACTGACCCATAGTGTTCAGTCCAGTCATCGTGAAGTGCTTCAAGCAATTGGCAATGAAACACATGAAGAGCAGTCTTCCATCCACACTGGATCCATTTCAGTCTGCGTATCACCCTAACCGGTCTACAGAGGACACCATATCCTCTGCCACTGACCTCTCACTGACCCACTTGGACAGAAAACACATTTATGTTTATAGACTTTAGTTTGGCAGTCAACACAATCATATTACAGCAACTCATTGGAAAGCTGAGCTTCCTGGGCCTGAAAACCTCCCTCTGCAGCTGTATCCTGGACTTCCTGACTGAGAGACCTCAGTCTGTCAGGATTGGCAAGGCCACCTTCAGCACCACCACACTGAACACCAGCACTTCCCAGGGCTGCATGCCGAGTCCTCTGCTGTTCACACTGCCAAGTCGTGACTGTGCTGCAAAGCACAGCTCAAATCACATCCTCAAGTTTGCTGATGATACAACAGCGGTGGGTCTTATCAGCAACAATGATAAGATAAGTCAGCATACAGGGAAGAGGTGGAGTAGAATGCAGACTGGTGCAGAGACATTAAATACATGAAAGAGATGCTTGTTGACATCAGGAGGACTTGCAGTGATCACTCTCCACTGCACATCAATGGTTCAACTGTGAAGAGAGTTAAAAGCTCCAAGTTCCTTGGTGTTCACATCTCCGACAACCTCACTGGGACCCTCAACGGCATCTGCCTAGCCAAGAAAGCCCAGCAGGGTTTCCCCCTTTCATCCTCACTACATTTTACAGGGGACAGTAGAAAGTATCCTGACCAGCTGTCTCACTGTTTGGTTTGGGAACTGCACTGTCTTGGCCCACAGAGCCCTGCAGCAAATTATGAATATCATTGGGGTGTCTTTACCCACCATCGACACTTCCTACCACAAATGCTTCATCTGTAAGACCACCAGCATTGTGCACAACCCGTCCCACCCCTCTCATGGCCTCTTCACCCTCCTGCCATCTGGCAATAGGTACCAGAGTATCCATTCAACCACCACCAGACTCTGTAACAGCTTCTTCTGAGGCAGTCAGATTACTGAACACACCGCCAACATCCACCTGGACTAATCTAGACCCCATTCAACATCCTCCACAGACTGATCACACACTCTTTAACCATCACTGCACACCTGCACTCTAAATTCTTTAACTGTTTGACTCTGCTATAGGACCTCAGTCTCTCTGTACATTTTACAGTGACAGTGTTTGCACTAGTTCCTTTATTACTCACATGCTGCTTGATGCCAATCCATGCGTATATACATATGTGTGTATATACATATATGAGATGCCCGCAGTGGTGGACAATGACTAAGTAAATGTAATTTGTTACTGTACTTAGGTACTTTTTTTGTGTATCTGTTCTTTACTGAAGAATTTCCATTTTGGACAACTTTTTACTTTCACTCCACTACATTTCAAAGTCAGATATCTCACTTTTTACTCCACTACATTATGAGAAATCTGTCGCTCCTTTTGGTTTATGTGTGCATAAAAATGTAACATGCGCAAAAAAGAAAGAAGTGTGAAGCCACAACACCAATCAGGGCACAGCGCACTTAGTTTTGAGCTTGTTTTGACCTGTTGGTCATACCGACCCAGTGCAGCACACGGTTCAACATCAGTGCAGCAGCGTAAAATTTTGTGAGAGTCTATTCAACATAAACGATGAACTAACCTGACTTTGTGTAAATAGACCACAATATAGAAATATGTACACATATGCAGTTGTGACTGACGTGTCTTTTTACTGAATTTATACAAACACTATTTCATTTTATAGTAAATTTGGTTTTGCTGGTTTATGTTTATGAACAGAGACCTACAGATGCAGCAAGTTTTTATTAAATTTAAACTTGTAACTAAGTTGCGTTAAGTTATTTAATCTTTCAGTACTTTTACTTTCAATACTTAAGTACATTTGAAGGCAAATATTGTTGTACTTTTACTCAAGTGGAGGTCTAAAGGGAGGAACTTCTACTTTTACTGGAGTAATATTTTACCTTGGGTATCTCTAATTCAACTCAAGTACATGGTTTGTGCACTTCGTCCACCACTGGTATATGTATCGTTTTCTTATCCTGTCTAGTAGCATTTATTTATTTATTTATTTATTTATTCATTCATTCATTCATTCATTCATTTATCCATGAGTGATGGCAGTAACTGAAAAAAAATATATATGCCAGTGATTGGGTGAAATGTACCAAACTAAAGGTTAGAAACTGCATTCAGCATCCTGAAGTCTTTTAGCACAGCATGATGGTATAGTATAAGTTTGAAATACTTTACATTTATACATATACTTTTATGCTTTGATCATCTGAGTATTGTTTATTTTATGAATGCGAAATTAATCTGCTTATGCTTATTTTAGTGGCTTACATCTCACAATGCACATTGCGTTGACCTCCAGGCAAGTAGGACATGCAGGAAGTGCAAAACAGCAGCTGCACAACTGACCAGCAGGAGGCGGCAAAAAAAAAAGAAAAGATGAACCCATTATCAAATACAACCTTATGAAAATGATCATAGAAGATAGTAAAGTGTTTTAGATTCCTGTAAGAGAGGACTACAGAAATATTACACAAAGGAGAACATTTTATAGACAGTTGCTGTAGTTTACTGCAGGATACTGCACAGTTTACTACTGTAAGACCACACCAACAGATCAGCTGATCATTTCAGATCGTTAGAGAAGTATTTTTTTGTTCTACATTTGCTGTTTTAATTTTTTACTCACTTTTTTATATTTTAATGTTTTTTTTTATCAAAATTCTTCTGTTTTTAATTTTAAGGCTGTTTTACTTACATTATTTTATACTGCTTACATTACTTTATATTATTTGTTATATACTGTTTTATTTAAACAGTTAGCACATTTGTATGAAGTGTACTATAGAAATAGTTGTTGTTATTATTATTATACAGTGCTGTAGAAATACTGTAGTTTCTTGTAGTAAAAATAAATAAATAAATAAATAAATGTGGCCTGTGCAAAAGTTATAGCACTTTTTATGTGTTATGATTTTTATATGGATTGAGAAATTGTGCTGTAATAATTTTT